CTCCTCCTCCTTTTCCTCCTCCTCCTCCTCCTCCTCCTCCTCCTCGCCACTACTGCGTCCTACACCCTCCGCTCGTGCACCCCCTTTCACGCCACTCTGGCTCGTCGATGACGAAACGCACGTAAATTCGTCGCGGCGCCGCTGCCGTTGCCGCCACCGCCTCCACCACTACCGCCGCCGCCGCCGCCGCCGCCACCACGGGGTGAAATCAGTGCGATCGGAGTGCACCGCGAGGGAAGGACGCGGGTCTCCCGTGTGCGGCCCGCCGTTCCCGCTTGCGGCACGCGCGCGCGCGCGTGCGTTTGCTCGCCCGCCCGACCGCCCGCCTGCGTTTGTTCGTTCGTTCGTTCTTCTCTCTCCGCGCAGGTAACGGCGCGACGTGATAGACAGTGGGAAACAGCCGGATAAATAGGTCGTCGTGCGCACCGAGGACGAGAGACGGGGGGTCGTAATCATGTAAAACGGACGGGGCGCGAAACGCTCCGGAACTGAAATCCGGAAGTGCGCTCGTTCACTTCGCAGCTCGGTGGTAGACGCGCGGAATTCTTGTGGTAGACATAGAATAGCTGTATCTTGAGGGAGACACACAAGCGGTACACACACCACACACTTGGTGAGAAAGGGTGCCGAGCTGTACCGCGCTCGATCATTTCGAGATCGATTTAGATCACTTGCAGAAGGAAACGCGGCAGCCGGGATATAGCGAGGATAAGGAAATTAGACGGCAGAACCGTCCAAGGCTGATTGATCGATGTGCCGTGTAGACTAGGTCAAGTGACTAATTAACTGCGGGCGCGAAATTAGCGGGCGTAAACGGAGAGAGAGAGAGAGAGAGAGAGAGAGAGAGAAAGAGAGAGAGAGGGAGAGAGAGAGAAAGAGAGAAGGAGAGAGAAAGAGAGAGAGAAAGAGAGAAAGACAACAAGAACAAGACACGTTGAAGTAAGACAAAGTTTGCCGACAATTTCACGTCCCTGTCGAATTGTTCAACGAGACCACTATTAATTACCCGCGAGAGATTCTACAGGCCGGCGTTCGCCGAGTCGGACTGCAATCGACTGAGAAAAGATCCGGGCCCGTCGCACGAGGAAGAGTGTCAACAAAGGGCCGCGATAGCTAGTCGGGGAACAGGGGAAAGCAGCAGGTGCAGCAGGTGTGCGAGAGGTGCAGGAGAAGCGCAGCTTCTGCCATCGATCTCGCTGCTGCGGCTGCAGCGAGCATGGCGCGGCCCGCCGCACACGTCGAACCGCGTCGACCGCGTGCGGATCCGCGGCGACTCGCGTGGCGATGAGCGTGTGGCGATCCATAACGACCAGGGACTCGCGATGGCGATGACTCGCACGATTAATTTCCCTCTGGAGAACGCGATGATAACGATGCTGACGACGATGATGAGAAGGAGGAGAACAATGACAGCGATGAGGAAGCGGTTAACGTCGGCGATGCCGATAACGATGACGATGACGCCGCGCGCGACGGCACCGCGAACGCTGGGTCTTCCCGACGGGATGCGGCAGGCCGATCGAACACCTCCCGACGCGTCCTCCGCAAGTTGCACGGCGGCCCTCCCACGTCCGGCGACCTCGCAGTGAGGACCAAGACGAGGTGAGGGGTGAACCCAGAACGGGGTTGGAGACGCGAGAGCAGAACACGAGAGAGCGGAGCTGGTGCATTGCGCGGTCGCGCGCGTCAGCCGCGCGCGCGGGCGGTGTTTACGTTCGCGAGAACGCGGCGCGAGACGTGGACCCGCGAAATCGGGAAATCGATCGGGTTTTTGTCTCTTCCTCCCTCTCTCTCTCTCTCTCTCTCTCTCTCTTTCTCTCTCTTTCTCTCATTCTCTCTTTCGGAGCACCGAAGAACGATAGAATCGCCGTGGTCCCGTTTATTTCCCGCGCGCGCCCATCGACGTTCGGATTTGCGCGATCTGTGACGCGCGCACCTGAGGACTCGCGCTAAGAAGAGTGCGACTTACGACGAGGAGAAACCGCGCGACGCGCACGTGTGATCGGTGTTTACGTTCACGTGAGACGCGGGACGCGCGTCAGTCAGGTCGATTCCGAGTGCGCGGCCTGCATCCAGAATTTGCGCGACGCTCGCCGCGAGACTTTGGACGACAAAACGGAAAGATGCGTCTTCGCGCCGGATGGAACGTGCGAAATCTCGCATGAGACCGCCGGCGGCACGAATCGAATCTGAAGAGGGATTCGCCGCGCGCTACCATGAAACGTATCGAATGCGATCTCGAAGGACATCGAGGGAAAATTGAAGCGATATTAGGCGCGTCTTCGCCGAGCGGAATAGACGAGTTCAGATCGCGTTCGTTTGCTCGTTCGTACACGAGCGGAGATAGATTCAAGTCCCGCGCGATGTCGGGAACGCGCGACGACGGAAACGCAGCGTAAGAAAGTGCGTCGCACTAGCTAGCAGAGCGGATCCAAACGGTCGCGCAGCCAAGTCGCAGCCGAGATGGACTGCTGCAACTACGTCGAGGCTTACTCGACAGGTGGTCACTTTTATCAGCAGCAGCAGCAACAGCAGCAGCAATACTTTTGTTACGACAATGGTAACGCTGTGTACGCCGGCTACGACGCCGCGCCGATCTCCAACACGATCGAGATTAACGCTCGATACAACGGGGCAATACCAACCGCCTATCCGACAGGTAGATTGTCGTGAATGCATGTGCATGATTCGTCCGTTTGCACGTCAATAGCTCAGAGCTCACCCAGTTTTGCTTTCGACGTTGCGTGCCGTGTCGTAAGAGTCCGACAATCGCGCAGTTCCTGCGCGATAGTAGTTTTGTCCTTTCATTATTTCGACAAGAATATTCAATTCGAAAAGTATACGATTAAAATATATAAGATACTGAGAAAAGGTTTTGTGTGTATGATTCGACGACTAAAGTTGTTTCAAAATTTAGCGATGTACAAAATGACGTAAAATTTTCGCCTCTTCGACCACCCCCGCGGATTTATCGAAAGAAAACCATGAAATTCGCAGCGCTATCGCATCGATTAAAAATCCCACGCACGTCATTTCGCAGATTACGTGTACAATCCGAAGGAGGCGAGGCTGCGGAAGGCGATGCGAGAGCAAAATCGCGAGCAGAGCCGCGAACGTTCGCGGCGTTCGATCCTGCAGAGCGCGATCGCAATTGCGAACGCTCGCACTGCCGCGATCGGCGGCCCACCCGCTGTTTCCGCGTCGTTGGCCGGCGGCTTTCTAAGCCAACACCATCGTACCTTCGACTGCGTACCCGCGACGGTGCCGTCCGTGCCCATGGGACCCGGCGTAGGTCCTTCTCATCGAGCGACCGAGGCCTGGTTCCAAGCGGCGCATCGCCCCAAGCCCGTCCATTCGCCGCGAATCGGCGATTGGTACGGTAGCGTGGACGGTGACCCCATCGAGAGGCTGCAGGCGATGGGTACGATGCATCAACAACAACAGCAGCAACAACGCAGCCTCGACAAAACCTCCATCAAGGAGCAAAGAGGTCAAGCGGCGGAGTGCGCCGCGGCGTTCTCCCCCAACGGCCACTCGCCGGACTTCATAGCCGCCGAGAGGGAAATTCGCAGGCGGGAATCCGCGGCGGAATATGCCGACTTCGTGGACGGCCAGAAGTGGCACCCTTATCAAGTAATGTGCACAATTCTTTCCATGACGCACGGGAAGATGAAGTCCGGTTTTGTGAGGGGACTTTGAGAACTTGGCGCTTGGATTCTGGTCATTTTTTCACAACGAAAGAGATTTTGACTAATTTAAAGATTAGTGACAATCTGTAAAATTATACAACAAGGACTTCTTCTTCATTACGGTCATCTTTATTGATGATGTAAGAAGCGGGAAAATACACTGAAAAAACTCAAAACACTCGAAAATTCATTTGTGGGATATAACGTTGATTTCTGTGAGCTAACTTTCTCCTATGCAAATAGATTTTCAAGTACTTCCTTCTCAGTGTATAAGGAATATCAAGATGGAAATAAATGCTTAATTGCCGACGTAGTGAAAGTTTACGTAGCAAAAATTGAACGGGCAAGTTTCTCACGGTTCCTGGCGCGTTTTGCGAAAGTCGCGTGACCTTCTTGATTGCAGAACAGCGCGAGCCCTCATCCACATCCAAGGACGCCTCATCCGTCACCGCAAATGGCCGGCATCCTTCACCCGAATGTTCAGAATACGAATGCGCACGGGCACACACACGGTCCGTGGGGCCAATTTTGTCACGGTATGCTACCACGTAAGTTCTATATGTTGCGACATTTGAGCGTTCCCTCACAATCCCCGATCGGCGATTTCGAAACTCGATGTTTGCGCTGGTAATCGCAATTTGCGCCTTGACAGGTGAAATTCGAATGTATGATTTCTTAAAATGAACTCTCTAAATGAAAAAGTCACTTCATGAAATATCCCAACGAGAACAATTTTTCGCAGACGTCTCCGCCATGACTCGCAATGCGGCGATTCGGGGCCCGCGACATGCCGTCTTTCTGCGGGATCGACCGGCGAGCAGGCACTGCGCGTTTACGGATGATGCGTCGCGGATGGGCTACGCTCCGAGCAAGCTGAACATCGAGAGCATTCGCGCGTCTTATCCGCCGGCGGAGCACCAGGTATTTTAGTGCAGTATACAAATGACTAACGCGAACTATAAATTAGAATTATACGGAAAAGTGCCGGGTAAATCCCGGAAGATCGCTGCAGTGTGTTATGTCAATTTGACATTTGAAAAGAAGGAAACTTAGTGAAGAATTAATGTGATGTAGATGCCGAGGCTGTTAGAATCAGCGGTGGATTCCATCATAGACTCGACAACGACGATGAATCGCCGCGAGGAGGACGGCGGGACCAGATGGGAGCCGGGTACCGTCACCACTGAGATGTCCCTGGACGAACTCGTGCCAATCTCCATGGTAAGACCTCCGCGATATCGCGCTTTTTCCCCTTCATACTCGCGCACAAGTAGTCATCCAAAGTTGCGTGTAATTTATTACTTTTTTAATTAGTTATCGCGTTTAATAAATGACTAATATGAGTCAATTCAATGGGAGATCGTTTAATTGACGATCGATTTCAACGAATTCAATTAAAGATCATTCAGTTGACAATTGAATATAAGTAAAGGGAATATTCGTCCAATTAATAATTGAATTTAGGAAATTTAATGAAGAGCTGTTTAATTGACGATTGATATAACTACATAGTGGTTAGTCTCGAATGCTCTTCGATTGAATCGTTTGAATTCGCGCATATCAATTTTTGAAATTGAATTTGCTCGTCAATATTAAATGGCCTTTGATTAAATTTGCTCAATTCAGTCGTCAATTAAACGCCTTTTAGTTAGATTTGCCAAATTTAATTGAAGTTCAATTGAAAGTTCAATTGAACGATTCCTGATTCCTTTTGTTCATATCAATCGCCAGTTGAACGGTCTTTAATTGGATTCGTCGAAATCGTCAGTCAAACATTGATTTTGCTCGAATCAATTTTTAAATTGAGAAAAATTTGACTGATATATTCGCAATCTAGGATGGCTAAGTGATCTCAGCGCTGAATCATACCGCAAGATTTTTTAAGCGAATAAATAAAAATGCAACGATTTGAAAACGCATCGACTTCGACCGCAGGAGAGCGCGCTTTCTCGTGAGAAGGAGTGTCAGTCTTGGCGCTCGGATGAGCACTTCGAGCCAAAGAAGAAGCCAGTCGTGAAGCAGCCGCTTCCTGGTTTCCACCAGGCCTTCGGCTCAACGGAGATCGGTAAATCGTTCTCTAGGTCGGAGTTTTTCGTAAACATGGTGGGCGAGAACGGCGGCGGCGGCGGTGCCGGTGGCGGCCCCGGAGGCGGAGGCGACATCGGCGAAGTGGGCAGCGGCGACGTAAGTAGGGAACGACCGCCGCTGTTGGACACGACAGGAAACGCCGCGACGGCTGTAGCTGCGACCGTGGTCGCGTCTGCTGCAACCGCGGCCAGAGCTGCGACTACAGTCACAGTGGCGACCGGAAACGACGCGGCAGCTGTCGCGGCTACCACGAGCGCCGGGAGGACCTTCGACCCCGAGGACCAGGCGACGTTCACCGTCGGCGACGGCGTCGTCGGCGCATCGTATTGTAGACAGCCGGCGACGGTGCCGCGATGGCACAGTCCACACGTAGGTGCTATAGGTAGCGAAATTTAAGCGAGTCCGTCTGTGCGCGGTGTCTTCACGCACTTACTCGAGAGACGCTTGCCGGTGTCTTTTTATTATTGAGAAAATTTGCCGTTAAGGCTCCTGGTTTCTCGTCGTGCAACTCTTCATTGATGATGTCGGAAGCGAGGAGACACGCTCAAAAATCCTGCACAGTACGTTGAAATAAAAGGATGTATTCAAAAAATGACATTTGCAATCGATCGAGCACACCTCCAAGATACTCTGAACTTATTCCTTTTGCTCCAACAATCAGTAAATAACCGTAAAGTTAACGTGTAACTTTAAATTTTAACCTAATCGTTATCTAGTCACTGTTAACTTTACGGTTATTTATTAATTGAGTAAATGGAAAGTGTCGGAGTATTGTGGAAGTATGCTTAAATGAATGTGAATGTCACTTTTAGGATATATCCTTTTATCTCGACATACGAATTTTGGATACGCATTTTTTCCTCTTTCCGACGTCATGAATCTGGATGGCTGCGGCGAATGGCCAGGAGTTTTAAAGAGTACTAAACGGGTGCTAATATTCGCGATAAATTGACGAGGTTTTATATTTTTAGAACAATCGGAAGAGATAAACGAGTCTCATGGATCTGTTATCACCATGAGCGCATACTACGCTTTCGAATGATTGAGGTACCGGCAAGTGTCGTCGATACGACACTGGAATACCGCTGCAGATCGATTCCCGTAGGACGAAGTCCTTGTCTTGTTTAGGCTAAAGCGGTCCCCCGTAGCTTTCCGACGCGTGATGGTTGGCGACGAGATTATATGACGATATATCACTCTTCCGATAGTAGAGAATAAGTCGTGACTGTGACATTAATCGGTTTCTTTTTTTTTTCATGTGTAGGAAATTTTTGTATGTAGCGAGCAACTATCCGTGTTCCGTGTTGCATGTGTTAATGACAAGTTTCTCCCGCGACCGACATAATTACGGTGAATTCGAATTGTCACGTTGGAGACACGCGAGAGTGATCTCTACGTTTGTTCGCGACATGTCCGCGAGAAAGTCGAGCTCGTCGGAATTACGTCGGGCTCCTGTGAACTTCCCTCCGTGACCAAATCTTCGTCAGTACCCGCAGCGCCGCGTCGAGAAGGAAGGAGCGCGTCATGCGTAACGAATGCGAGTGCATCGATTAGCGAAAGCTGTCGGGGATCGATATTGGCGTACGAAACGTCCCGACAAACTGCGAACGTTCGTCGAGATTGTGCCTTCCAAAGGGCCGGGAACGCGTCGGGGATTCTCGTCGAGTTCTCCCGCCTTATCGAGAATCAAAGCAGCACGATATACCAATACGCGTCTCGTATGCCAAAAAGAAGATATAATCAAAAAAGAAATCGTGCCGAGAGAAAACGATTCGCATGCGATCGGCACTTTCCATCACTGTTGTTAGATATTGTGAGTATTGTATGCGCCGACGAGCGATTATACATATATATATAAATGCATATATATATATATATATATATATATTGTACTCGTGTAATGGAAGAAAACGAATATACGCGCGACGAAGAGAGCAAGATATTTAGTAGAATCCTTAGGTGAGTACGTATTGACGCGCGGAGAAACGATCAAATAAAAGTGAACGCTACGAGCGTAGGAAGCCGAGAAGCCGACAGGTGGAACGCTCTTCCGCTTCTGGGAAATAATTGCGAAGGGGGATGCACGGTGGTTTATGTTAAGAATCTGCGCGTCCGAACGTCTCTCAGCGGAGTTTCTCGCGCCACCCTTAACTGATACTTTCGCTGCAGCCACGCAATCGTCAATTAAATTTTCTTAAACGGCGTACTGATTATCAATTAAGACGGTATTTTTACGTATCACGTTTTTCGTCACGTGGAAATGCGAGCCGCGTTTACGTATCAACTGACGTTCATTCATATTTGACTTCGTGTGCTACATGCTACGTCACTCTCTCACGGGCGGAAGATCATTTCGCGCTTTTCATGTTACACTGTCTAACGATTCTAATGAAGTGTATTTGCGCGACGTTTTGCAGGTTCTTAACACGTGCTTGTATCTATCTGCTTGCGTCTAGTCGATCGACCAGTTAAAATTCGAGATCAATTCGTGCCGGACATCCTGTACTTATGATGGGACCAAATTAAAGAGAAAAAAAAAGACTTTTATGTCGCGTTCACCGTCGCGCTTACGTCCTACGTATAGTCGCGTAAGATAAAAAGAAAAAGAAAGAAAATGTAAAAGAAAACTTCCCTCATTCTGTTCGCGCGATCGCTCGCGAGTGAAAGCAAAATGCCGCACCTCCGCTCGGAAACGTGGAACACATTCTACGAGATTAGCGCGCGTGTGTGACATGAAAGTATATTAATATAATTCGAGGATATATTCCACCTTTTTGTGTGCGACGGAACCGAACATAATCGCCACGCCTTATCGAAACGTACTTAGCCGTCGAGTCGAGAAAGGTGCATGAATATCATATAGTGGGAAAACAAATAAATTATATCTGTAGAACAAGAGAGAAGGAGGAAGGAAAGCTCGAGGTAACTGAAACGCTTAGATATCGATAGTATGCGAAAAGAGATCTTCTTCTGAGCGTCGATGTACCGCGCACTTGCTGAGAGATGCAAGTGATCGTTGAGGAAGGAGAGGAAGGGAAAAGGGATGAGAAATACTGTTCAATTAATCCGACGAACGTAAATGTACTCGTGCGATATACAATATCATAAGCAACGGTAGCTAAAGGAGATAAATCAAACCGACCTATAACAGACCTATAACAACATTTTATCCGGAAACGGTGCCGCAAATGCTGCCGCGAGTCCCCGACATCGGGATCACGTCGGAATCACGACGGCCAGAACGGGAGTCGATACAAAGGAGGGACGAACCCAGTATTTGCGGCACCGATTTCCTCGCGATACATGGAATACGGACAAAATTCGTCGTTGCAAAATATATACTTTACTCTCATTCGATTGGAACGATCGCGAGCAGCATGATAAAAATAAACGGATGTCTGTATGACAGTGAAAAGAAAAAAGGAAAAAAAATAAGAAGAAAAAAACTCGAAGAAAATCTGTCTCCAGTGAGCTTTTGATTTTTCCCAGCTTATCCCGGAAGCCTATCTGACGACTCCCCTGCTGTTTCCTTTCCCGGCCCACAACCCCATCCTGGGAGCTAACGCTGTGCACGGGATCACGGAGAATGGACGACTGGTGTCGCGCATTTTGCCCAGCGAGTGCTGCTGGTTCACGCAAACCGGCCACGCGATCACCCGAATCCCCGACGGTCTGGTGGTAAGAGCTTTGATGATCCCAATGATTATATTTCAATTTGGAAACTCAAACAAAACCTACGAGAGTCGGATGCGTACTTCAATAATCGTCGATCCCACGGTATTTGAGTATTCATGTTCTCTTTCGATTGAAACCGCGACGAAATCACGCAGACTTGCGCCGCCCTGTTGGATTATTCTCACCGTGCTACTGAGAGGGAATGGATCCGGCAGAAGACGACGGTCGCGCGTCCAACGGAGTACCCGGTGTTGCTAGGTAATCCGAATGCCGAGTACGAGAGGATAATTTGCGAACACGCACGACGAGACTACGTCATCGTGGGTGCAGACGAGACCGGTGACCACACAGGCGTTGGACGAGAATACGGAAGCGAAGCAGTCAATCTCAAGATTGACCGAGATCAGAATTCGCTCGACCCGGATGTACACGAGTTCAGCGAGAAGCACTGAAGTCTGTCGGCAACATAGGATGCATTTCAGGAGACACAACGGTTGTGCAACCCTTGAATGACTGTCGTCTTTGATTCAAGTATTCTTTTAGATCTATGGTAGATTTGAAAGAATATTCTGATCGCACTCATTCAACCGTTGTGTTCCCTGAACGCGGCTATAGTTATCCGTGTTTTTATTGTTTTTCTCCATTTTATTTTCGAAAGACCCGAACATTTCGTTTTTTAATCGATTGACGTTCTAGCCGATTAATGTGCTTACCCTTGCAAATATAGCTTCTAAAAACTTTTGTTCTTTGCTATTGCAATTGTTTAGTATTACACGAGTTTACAGTGAGGAGATAGTCGATTCGCGATATCGTAAACGAAAAAAGCAAATTTGCTGGATTGATTAAACGTCTAGTGAGATGTGAACGAATCGGAATTTCGATTGAAGTTAATAAAATTCCGTTCAAGTTAGCAAGATTCTGATTGATGAGAAATCTTGCTTGATGGACAAGAATTTTGTTAACTTAAACATAGAATTCTGGTAACTTCAACTGTAATTTTAGTTCGTTCATATTTTATCAGACATTTGATTAATTCATCTAAATTTTTCTTTCTGTGTACAATAAAAACTCCGAATTGAAAATTACTAATTTCCAAAGATCTTCCAAAGATTCTCCAAGAAGAATCATCAAGAATAGGTCAAAACTTGACTGTCATGTTTGCATTAACCAGTCGTTGATGTTTAAATGATAGTCCAAAACAGTTTAAAAACAGTAAGATGCTTCGTAAATGAAGATCTTTGCGGTATCTTTTCCCGGGGAACGCCTTTTTGAGACGATGGGACTTGCGGACAACTTCCGCTTAGAACATTAGAGAGCGTCTATAGTCTGTAAATAGAGGAACAAAAGAACCAGGTCGGGATTTGGTTTATCAAAGCGATCGTAACAGCGGCGGCATCCCTCAAACGCGATAAACGAATACTGAGAGCCTCCCACCGGCTGTATAGAGACTACCTAGCGGCAGGTAGCAATAGTCGAAGATGTCCGTATCGTAAACATCTCTGCAGTGTTGCAGCTCGCGTAGATTGTACGAGGTAAAAATTTTTATGACACGCCACCGTGTGCAGCAGCGAACGGGTCGGAGATGCGTGAGAAAGAGAGGAAGGTAGTGAGGAGGAGAATTTATCGCGTTGATCGTTGAAATATCTTAATTATCGAGTCATTTGACTGCCGAATCGGAGAATCGCGGCGAAATCGTTATCCCGATTGCTTCTGTATTATTGTACTGGCGATCATGAACGGTAATCGAGTAAGGCAAAAGTACCAATGCCTGGACATGTATCCACCCCTGGATATTCTTATCGTTTTGGTCTTTAAATACGAATAATTCAACTTTCAACATAAAATACATATATTAAATATATACGTATATTCTGTGTTCAAAGTTTAAATAGTTTGAAGACCAAAACAATAAGAGATGCAAATAGAAATAAAAATGCCAAAACAATAAAATGACCAAGACATTAAGAATGTCCAGAATAGAGTACGTATCCAGGTATATTAGTAGTTTTACCTTGAAAAGTGAATTTCCCTAAGTGAAAAGAACGTGAAAAGTAAACTAAATATAATAAAACATCGTCATGCGGATCGAAGACCATGACTAGCAGAAATTATTCTCATTAGTCTCAGATCGAGGAGAGTCATCATCCACCCCCGTGTCTTTAACGGCGTAGAACTCGCGTTCACCTCTATCACGGGGTAAGAGTTATATAGCCTGAAGTTCTTCTTTTCGGTTTCTTTCTTTTCTTTCGGTTCTTTTTTACGACTATAGTCGCCGCTTTGCAATCCTTCGCGACGAGGATGCGACGAGAAATAAGAATCCCTTTTGTTTTCCGGCTACACCCTCGAGGAGACTTCGCGGACGAAAAGACGCTGCATGATTTGTGGTTTGTCCAGGGACCAGCGGAAATTTCGCTACGAATGTAGCGCGTCGTTTGGATGGAAATTGTAATTACCTTCGAGAGAGTCGCGCCGAGAGGGCCGCCTTCGTTCAATAAAGATGGCTCGGCGTGTCCTCCGGCGACGTCGCGACACCAGGACGATCGCGACTCCGTGCTCCGCACGAAATTGCTAGCACAAATAACCGATAGGGTTACGGTCTCGTCTCGTCTCGCGTCCGGCGATTGCCGTCCGAAACCGCACGCGATGGCAAACAAGAAACGGTCCTGCTCAAATATCTACTCGCAATGCGTCTTGCGGCTAGTCGAACGGCGCTCTGTTGATTTTTGTCATTTGACTGGAGACGACCAACACGGGTCGGTCCCATCCTTCGTCGTCCTCCGTCGTCTCGCTCGCGATAGGAGAGGGACACCATTTTCGATCGACGAGTATCAAAATCACCGTGAGGAGCCCGAAGAGCCTCGACATCTTTGAAGACTGAGGACGGAATCGACGCATTCCCAATGAACCGTCGAGATATTTTTCGCCTGACAATTTGCTATCCGTGACAAAGAACGCGGACCAATATAACGGTGACTACATGACGCATTGATAAAGCTCTTACCGATATTACAGGGTAACAAAAGCCAAAACATGACTGTCAGTGTTATCAAAGAATCCACGCGACCGAAATGCAAATTGTGCGGGTGCGAAATCACGAGATTTCCGAATCTGACCCTCATCCACCGTCCGACACGATTCACTTGGCGTGATTACGCAAGAGCGCGTCGCTGGGAACGCAGTCGGTGTTGCAAATGGGCCGTGAGGAACAAATACATACTTGTCGCATACTTTCCCGAGACCAGCGGGCGCAAATATTAACTCGAAGGAATGACACGACCGCGAGTCTATGTCGTCGCGTCTCGATGCGACTCCGCTCCACGAAGAGGAACACTTCCTTCCGACCTTGGGCGGCCGGCGACGAGCTACCTTCCCCGTCGACTTCCCCGTACGACGTTCTTTCGCGGCCGACAGGGCGATCGACAGGGAGAAAGAGACGAGACGATATTCGCGATCGATTTCGGCCAGCGCGATATCGAAGCGCGACAGTCACGAAGCGCGACGTCGATCCTCGGACCACGTGCGGGTCCGCGTACGTTGTTCGCCAGGACTAATCGAGAACTTGGCGACGGACGCGTGGGCGGACTGGTGAACGTCGCGTTCACTGTCGAACCCACCAACCATGGTAGAATCATAAAGTCGACTCATCCGACCATTGGTCGATGGAAGTCGCAGAAGGCGGCACCGGCCTTCTCGGCGACCGACCAGCCGGTCAAACTGTTCCCGACCAATGGACACCGTCGCGATACCGCCATGCTGCTCCCGTGAGCTCCTAATTTAGCGAGTAATTAGCACCCGGCGAACGCGGACGGAGTCGAGCCGGTGCTTCTCTCGCGGCGACCGTGCACCGTGTCCACGAACGGAGAAAGAGAAGCCGCGAAGTGCGGACAGAGAGGCAGATATACCGTCGGTCAGTCTTCGGCGAGTCTTCGCCGACTAGTGTGAAATATCGCGCCCAAGTGTTACGAGCCTACGGGCCACGCGGCCTCCTCTCGTACGCGACACGACCTGTCCTCCAGGCCGCTGACGGAGACGTCTGGTGCCGCGACACGACGACGATTTTCCGTTCCCCGCCGCCGCCCCGACCGCGCTCGTTTTTCTCGCGACGCGTCGCGAATTCGATCGGGGAATCGATCGCGCGCCATCCCCAGGGAGAGTCACACCCGACTCGTGAATTTTTATACTCTCATTGAGAGAAAGAGAGAATTTCTTTGATCTGGGAACGTGTTAGGTCGCATCGCTCGATTCCCTGCGGAGGGTTCCTCTTGATTGATATCCTCGATCTAAGATCGAGGTTTTGAGCGGGATTACGAGTCGCTATTGGAGTTCTGCTTGACGAAGGGCGAAAGAATTGAACGCGAGAACTGGAGAACACCGAAAATGCAGCCGGCGAACGTTCCGCGGGCGCCGGATTCTCCAACGCGCACCTCGTGCCACGAGCGCGATCGGGACCGCGGCAGAGAACGCGAGCAGGATCGAGATCGCGAGCGAGACCGCGGCGGAAGACAAAGCCGTATGAGTCCCGAGGAAGATCGAGAGGATCGCGAGGAGCGCAGCTCGATCACCAGGCAGAGTCTCGAACTCGCCGCGATCTCGGCTAATCAAGGATTGCAGTTGTCCTTGTCGCTGGAAGATCGCGAACTCTGGACCAGGTTTCAGTGCATCACGAACGAGATGATTGTGACGAAAAACGGAAGGTATATACGGTGGTTACCGGAAGAGGACTCAGAGTGTTGCTCGATTTTTAAAGATGCTGTCACATGGATGAAGTTGTGATTGGCTTATGAACGCGCGACAATCGTTTGATTGTCGGAAGGAAGAATGAGAAGTCGCGGAAAAAATAAGAAAATTATACCTATAAAGATTACATATAAAATGACTTAAGCTGAGTTTTTTAACAAAACTCTTTTTATTTCAAATTTTAACTATATATATTGTATTTTCTATTTGTAAATTTGGGTAAAGTGAAAATCCCCGGACGCGTGGCTAATCCTTGTTGAACATTCTTGTTGTTTTGGTCTTTTAATACGAATATTTATAAACTTTCAACATATAAAAAAAATATATACATATATTCTATGTTGAAAATTTATATATTCGTATCTGAAGATCAAAACAATAAAAATGTTCAATAATTTGTATGATTACCTAATATATTTCTCATTTCTTCGATTGTATATTAAAAAGAAAATATTTTCAATTTTAAATTTTTATAAAAAAGTGACACACATTTGACATGCGAATTTGACAGCTCGTATTTGACAGCTTCATCGTCTCCTCACGACGAAATCTCATCGGCTTGCGACGAATTCTATACTATTAACAATTCACGACGGGATCCGTCGGATTCCCGCTTGCAGCGCGCATAATTCGTACGGTGAATCGACGAGCGCCAAGAGAATAACCGAGGATTCATTTCATAAACCAAAACAAGAATAAGTCCCGCGACCGGTGGAAAGACGGAGTTTCCTGGGAAGGTCGAATCGCCAACAATAAAACTTTACGACCCTCTTGTAAAACGCTTTCCTGCCATACCGGTGTCCGCGAGCGTTTTACCTGCACAGCCGCGGTCGACAAACCGTAATCGCTTTTATTAATATGCGAGTCGTAAATGTAGTCGCCGAAGATACACTGTCCACACGGCGGGTTATCTTTTGATCCGCGCTATGAATCGCCGCTAAGACATCGATCTATACGACGTGTGCAAGCGCAGGACTTCGTCTCCCTTTCCTTCTCTTTCTCTCTCTTGGCTTTACGATCAGCACTGCCTTATGCAGTGGAGTGAAAACGTCACTTTCGTTCGCAGGAGGATGTTTCCGGTGGTGAAGGTTGTAGCACGGGGTTTGGAGCCGGCGGCTATGTACACCCTGCTACTGGAATTTGTGCAGGTCGACTCACACAGGTAATACGATTTAATACTTTAAATTATAAGAAAAATGATATCTTTTCGATTTAAGAGAATATTGGCGACTATCAGGCGCCCGCGAATTATATTTTTCAGCGATTACAGATTTTCGACTTTGAAAGTTGAGTCAACGCGACGTTACGGTTCCTCTTCGAGCCACAAAATCGCCCAAATTATTCTCTCAAGCCGCGCAAAACAATGGAATAGTTTCGGAAACTTTTTCGAAGAATACAAACGGAGGTCGTAAAAGCGGTTGTTAGCCGCGGTAGTCACGGAGAAAAGTGGTCGGGCAAAATGGCAAGCACGGAGAACACGTCGAGAGAGAGAGAGAGATATTCGCCGTAGCCGGTGAACGGATGAACGCGTTACCGATTTGCATTGATTTATTTCGCGAGCGGAGCATGAAGGCACAGGGTACGCGAAAGATACTAACAGGTCGTAATTATCGTACCCCTTTCGTTCGGGCGTCACGTAACGTCGCTAAACTCGATTCTAAACTCGTTAGTGAGTTATTTTTAACTCACCGACGATTCGTCATCAGTGTTGAACGAACCTGGGTGTGCGGGAACGCATAATAGCTTTCGCAAAACAATCCGAGAAGTCGATCGACAGAGAGTACGCAGGGCGATTCGCGTCGATCGCGAATCTCTCGAATCCTTTCACGCCTGAATTCTCATCGATATGAATCGGCGAAAAGGAAAGGGAGAAATCTGCCACTTTTCTGCCAACGTGGCGTGTTTTCGCAAGCAAATCGCGTTACCAATTTGTGAATAAGAAAGAGACAGATTAACATCAGATACACGCCGAAAACTTGGACTCACAGGTGGAAGTACGTGAATGGAGAATGGGTGCCGGGTGGAAAGGCGGAAGTCGCGCCCCCTAATCCGATTTATATACATCCTGAGAGTCCGAATTTCGGGGCACACTGGATGAAGGAGGCTGTATCGTTCGCCAAAGTGAAGCTGACGAACAAGTCGAACGGTAACGGACAGATAATGCTCAACTCGTTGCACAAATATGAGCCGCGCGTTCATTTGGTTCGAGTGGGCGGCGAGGAGCAGAGAACGGTACGTTACTTTTCCTTTCTTACCGGTTAAATTATCTTGATTACATTTATAATGTTCAGCATCAAACCTTGACTATCACAATAAAATGAAATGAAAAGAATTTTAGTGATATTCAATCAATAACGGAACGAAAAGAGCTAATTTCTGGTGATGTTGAATTAATAACGGGATGGGAAGGGCAATGAAAACCCATGCCTACCGAACCGTGCAACATGATATCAATCCGGGAAGAATTGTTAATTATAATAGCTGAATCATTTCGCAAACATCGTTACTCACACAGGTTCTTACGTATCGCTTCCCCGAGACCCAATTTATCGCGGTGACGGCGTACCAAAACGAGGAAGTGACGAGCCTGAAGATCAAATACAATCCTTTCGCAAAGGCGTTCCTTGACGCGAAGGAGAGACCCGTGGATCCGCAAACTTATCCGCAATGTGAGTGCAACGCGTAAATGCGCGCATTTACGCGCACGTGACGCGACAGGTTCACGATTTTTACGTCGATAGAAACGCGACGGATGAAAGGAAATAACTATCGAGGCATCGCCGCCGTGCGACCAGGCGCTCTCGATGATGCGAATGACGTTTTACAGACGCTGGTCCCTGGTTCCTGTCGCAACCCACAATGGGATACGAGTACAACACCGCATCCGCGATCGCGGTCGCGCAAAATCAAGTATCGGCCAGCGTCGGCAATCACCTCTCTAATTCGTGCAGCGTCACCACTTCTGGGCATAGAAGCACCTGCAGAACGGCGCCGTACACCTTGAGGCACAAATACGGCCAAGACGGTACGTAACATCGTCCCATCGCACTTGATTCAATCGAGATTCCGACACGGCGTCGTCGATGTATAGATAAATTTTATTCGATCATTCGACGAGGAGTTTATCGTATTTGCGTGAGATAAAATCGAACACGAAATTATTCAATCCCGAAATGTTAATAACTCTTCTGAATAAATATCTTACGAAATGTCAGTAACTTCTGGGACTGATTTTCTTTGATTAAAAATGTTTGTGAAATGATTATGGCCTTCAGTGGGTTGCGAAAAAAGAGAAACGACAATTAACCTGCATCAACCTACTGGGCTGCAAAAGTTCATGGGATGATTTCATTAATCGTAAAGATGAATAACTTCACAATAACAAAATCTTATTTGCAGAATCTGATCTGCTTTTCTTCACTACGAAAAGAAATTTGTAGTAACGATTACTACAGAATTTTATAATCGGAAAACAGATCGACATTCTGCAGTAACTGACTATCCTATCATTTCATGTGTGTTATTTTATATTTCAGGAACTGAAATATGTTATTAAGGAATTTGCTATATTTCCAGCGAAATTTACTATGTTCCTTAGCAAGATAGACCTTACTGACAATCTGCTTCTGCACTATTAGAAATGTAGTAAAATTGAAGAGAATTTATGTGAAAAGAAAACTTTCTCTATATATTATTAAGAAAAGAAATATGACGAAAAATTCGGCCAACTTGTGCAAATAATAATATTCGTAATAATAGTATTCATAATATTTCTATCTATGCGTCAACTTCAGCCTATAGGTTTCTCTAGGTGATCGAAAGCTCGACTGCCTATTGTGTTCGCAGAACAACATTCAGACCCTTATGCTCCTATGCCGCTATTGCATTCTACCGCCTACGTGGCAGCTCCAGCCTGGTCACCACGTAGTCCGGAGTCCTTACAGAACTTAAACTCCGCGTGCCTACCATCGACCGCGCCGCAGGAGTGGCCAACATCACCATCGCCGTCGCCGACGTCCTCGGCGCACACGGTCCTCGGCAGAACCGTGGTCGGTACCGCGTCTGCCGCTGCTGTCGCTGCCGCTACCACCGTAACTGGATGCACATTGTACGTGCCCTCAAATTTACCGTCGCAGGAACACAGCGGGCACTGCACGGACTCGTCCTGGATTCACCCAGGCGCGCTCGAGCAGCAGCAGCAGCAGCAGCAACAACAACAACAGCAGCAACAGCAACAACATCAACCCTACTTGAACCTAAACCTCCATCTGCACCATCAGATGTCTTCTTACGGCTCCGTGCCGCACGCGGGACTACATCACGGTCTTCATCCGGGCGGAGAAACGGTACCTCCTGCGGACGCGAATGACTACGTTCACGAGTACCATCACGCGTCACCGGTACAATCGACCACCCCCGATCAGCACCGTCATCATCAACAACCGCAATCACAGCCGCAGCATCACCCGCAAGCGCAGATGTTGCATTTGCAGGCGATACCGCAAACAGGCACCACGTCACCGGTCAGCGTGGAATACGACAGCTCTCCGAAAGAACACCCCCATATTCAAGTGAGCTATCCTCCGGAGCAAAGCGCGGACGCTTTAAGCGAAGTGCAACAAGACGACGAGAGAAGATATCTAACCACAGTGGTGGGTCGTCATCACCACCATCACCATCATCACAATCATCATCGGCAGGACACGGAAATCGCCAGCGCGGAGCAATCGAGTGCGTGGACGCCGTTGACGCCACCGCCGGCACCGCAAACCACCGCTATCTGATTCGATCAAACCCCCTTCGCGCGGAAAATCTCACGTTTACTTCTTTCTTACTCGTGAACGGCTCGTGGTGTATCGAAAGTGATTGCCGTCGTGATTGCAAAGAGAAAATCGTCGACCGTGGTGAAGTGTCACCGCGATGTCGAGCACGTCGACGCGCGACCGTCGTTTTAACGTGTCGCATAATTAGAATAATCGCGCACGACAGGTATCGCAATGCTAAATTGTACTGATCCGTCCCAAAACGCCTGGTCTATCGAGCAATTACAAATTGCGTTAGTACGTTAGATATGTCAAGAGAGAAATAAAGTACTGATAAAACATTTATCCCTAATTTTTACTATTCACTTTTTCTCATCATAAAAAATCGGTAAAATTCAACGGGTTATAATGTCGATAGAAATGACAATAATGAAATGACTTAAAAAGCATTTCCTTAATTGAAATGTTTAATTGCCAGGTATATATATATTTCTAAATATAAAGTTTACTTATTATTTAAAGTGCACTGAGAGAAAAAGATATCTAAAAAAATGTAAAATATTTATTCAATGAACGCTAATAACACATTTACTTTGTATATACTAATATAAATATCTTTATACTGAGAAAAGAATTTTATTCAAATGAGAAAATATACTTTCTCTTAAAACCGTAACTTTTCATGTGAAAAATTGTTTCTCTATTTAAATTAAAAAATTTAAATTTAAATGTAAATATATTATTGGCATGCACTGTATGTGAGTAAATATTTTTATATTTTAGATATTTTTTCTTTTAATGCTACACGAATATTAATCGAAACCCAATAAATATCATATTCTTTTTATGAAGTTTATCGAATATCACCACATAGACATAAGAAAATACTTAAATCATAACATTATTTAAAATCGCAAACTCTCTCTTCACTATGTTATTTGCTGTTCGAGAAATATTTGAATGCTCATAAAATGTGAGACATAAGTCATGGCTCGCACATAACGTTTGTTAAAAAATAAATAAAAAGTGTAAAGTGCATCCATCTTTAAATACTATTTTGCAATATTTAATTGTTAAATACTGCATATTAAGATCTGGATTATTAGGACGATTCGCATATACAAATTGCAATATATTGGACAATAATTATAGTATATGATTTGATTGTTAAACAGTTGCTTTTTAATTTTGAATTGAAACTATGATCGCGAGATTACGGTCAATACTCAATATAATCGTGTTGAATAATAATAGAGAATATTAGAAAGATTAATTGTAATTCCTGCATTTTCTAATACATCATGTATATTATCTATATGATTATGATGCATTCTACATTATTTGACTGAACAAAATTAATTTTTGGAAATGTCACACACAGTAAACAATTAAATTATAAGGCATAATTTGATTGAATTATCCGTTACAATATTGTTTGAATATTTGAGACAGAGAGAGAGTTTGTACAAAAATAAGGGTAAAACTACCATTATTTTTCTTTCGTGAAAAATCAATGCGATCTACGTCTACTCATACACTACTAAAGTGAGATTACTTTTGTGTATCAACTCACCAATGCGCGATGAGGTCCATCGACGTTATGTCCTACGACGAATTCTTACGATATCGGTTGTATTCATCCTAGCCTCCTTGATCTTCAGCTTTCAGCTTCCTTTGTTAATAGCACTCCCGTTTAAACACTCGCGAAACGCGTATACGCGAACCGAAGATGGCGTTTTTTAAAAAAATCGCGGAAGATACAAAAGATTTTCCCGCTTCGCGAACATACTTGTCAAAAAACTGAGTTCCCATTGCGCGAGAACTAAAATTTTTAAACAAACTATAAACACATTTCGAATTTAACGAACAATTTTATCGAGTTTTTCATAACGGGATATATAATTAGATAACATTCCAACACATATACACGATACGAATCTAGCGAAATTGTAAACAGGCGAAATAATCGATCAGTGTAGCATGAAATTATCATGCAATATGTTCCGCAAATTTATGCAAAGGCAGGCTCCGCAAATTTATGCGAAAGCAACTCCGCAATATTGCGAGATTTATTTGCGGAATATACGTACGTATTTAATTTAACGTTATCCGCGTTATTCTCTAAAGAATGTTATTATGATTGCGAAGTAAAATAAATAAAAACCCAAAATATATAAAAATATATAAAAATAAATATAAGTATTTGCTAAATTTACTAAGGAAAATATAAACAGTATATATCTGCAAAATACATATTAACACGGTGAATGTAATAATAACACACAGGCGTGAATGTAAATATACAAAAGAAAGAAATAAAAACACGTCAATCGCGAAACATGCTAATACGTAAATGCGCATAAATTTACTTTATGTTTATGACTTACTTTTCTGAGAAGATTCTATTGAAAAATATTATTCGCAGTGATTGGAAAATTTGCGCAACCGCGAATGAAATAGTTTCTGTATTGTGTACAAATTATCGCGTTTCATTGTTTTGCGATAACATGACGAACTTGCATAACGAAATTTATATTTTATTATAAGTACAAGTATAATTTGAACGCATATGAAAAAACTAAAGATCACGATAGTTGCGAAATTTATTAACACGGCCGGAAATACCGTTATGTGTCTACGAGTAATGGGCGCCACTCTAGTGCGCGTTGGTTTCGCGATACATTTCGCGATATTGCAACGTCAAGCTTTACTCGACGATATTTAGGTAACTGTGTTGGAAAATTGAACTATCGAACGATATAGTAGTGTAAATTTTATCTTATTAACAAGAAATATAATTATTGATGTGTACGGGTGTGTCTGTTTGTTATAAATTCAATTATTTATATAATTGTAGATATATCCAATGAATTTGAAACATTCATACATTTACATATATTCATTCATTTTAAAGAGAAAAATGCAAGTTATACCACTGTATTTTGTTCGTCCGTTTGTATTTCAGATGTCGCTTCCGAACGGCATCTTTGAGCGTTATCTAGAGAGAGGAGAGTGTCGTGAGCGTGGAGCGTCAGGCAGCTCAGTGGTTTAAAGTAGTCGCCCGGCAAGCGAAAGACCCGGGTTCGAGTGCCAGTCTTAGCAAAACCGCGCTTTCGATATTTTTCTCTCTCTCTGAGAGATACGCCGATCTCGAACGCACGGCGTCCCGCTGCCACCTAGTACGCTCTCCTCCTTCTATGGTATGTATATATAAATGATGTGAAAATAAGCATAACAGCAAGATGAGAAGACCCGACTTGTGTAGAGAGCCGACATAGAAAAATTGTCATCTCATAAATCCAGTCGGTTTTTCATCTAGTCCGGTCTTCCCATCTAGTTGTTATCTTTATTTTAACAACAAAAATAAAATTTGTTATAATTGCAAAGACAGATTAGCTATGTGCTAATTATTGTTGGATGTTAAAAATAATTAAGCAGAACAATCGTATGACGTAATCGTTAATCCAATGAGACATTATTTCATCACATGATATTTCCGCACATAAAAATATTAAGAAGCAGATACTACAAATAAAGTAGATCGCAGTGATTTTCACGAGCCATTTACAACAATCCCATTTCAAATTTTTGTCCCCATTTCTTTCCAATTACCAACTTACCTGGAAAGGATCGGCCACGTTCTCCTTAATGATCTATAACAAAAAAATATAATTTTGCTGATAAAATTCAAATAAATTTAGATAGCGTAGATAGATCACTTCATCTTGTGTTTAAGTATATTTGATATTTTGATAAGATATTATATAAATGAAAGAGTGAGAAGTATACATACCTTCAAGCCGACCCTTGTAAGCTCGAACCGGAACCTCTGGTGCAGCATCTGCATTCTCTACCGTTGTCCCGAGCTGCGTGCCAGATCTAGAAGCTCCTACAGCTATGCAAAGTCTGCTAGGTCTGAAACAGATAATTATTTTACTAATTAGTCATAATATATGAAATTAATGGACATATATTTCTTTTAAAGTTAGTAAATATATCATCAGGTAATCACCCATAATACTACAATTGTTCACGACAATATTGAACACGATGATTTCGTCAGCACAAAATACCAAAATAAATTTTAAAAAGATTTCAATTAATTTTAGAAAGAGAAAATGAAAATAGCGAGTGATATCAACCAATGTGTTCGCCTTTGTGTTTACGATTCTTATCGTCAGACATACAAGCTTTAATATTGTTGTTTCAAAGAGAACGCACGACTTTTGGCGAGCCGAAATATTATATTTTGATATTATTTAACATATATATCATATCATGAATATTATATGTTCTATATTGCAATATTTAATTCCTAAATATTTAATTCTCCTAAATATTTATTTCTAAATAGAATTAATAAAATATTCTGTACGTCGTAGACATATAATTATCAAGATCCATAATATGTATAATCTCAATATCAGCGATTATCTATTTGTATTAAATCAATAGTCAATACACACGTTTCTCTAATTAGTTAATTAATAAATGAGTATTGATAATATAAGATTGAATAGAGTCTATAAATACATATAACTTTTAAATTTACTAAAAATAATATGTAGTATATATATATATTTACCATTGCAATTCAACTTGCTCCTCTTGCACGCGATAATATTCGCAATATAACTGAGCGACCTAATTATCGTAACTGATCTTATTGTTGATCTAATCAGTATTAAAAATGTTGGAAAATGTACGTTTCTCTTACGCGTTACGCGTTGTGCTCACTACCACGTCTGACTGTCCTAACGGGGAATACACCACGTGCCTACACTACTGAAAAACTTCTGTTGAAATCACAATTGAATTCCCAATTGAATTCTCAATTGAATTCTCAGTCGAGGTTTCCGCAAAATTTTGCATGTAAGATCTCAATTGAGATATTTGTATCTAATGGAAATAATTTATTAAAAATATAATGAACTTTTGCTGAAATGTTTTTGAAAAGCATTCACAATTTTGACTCAATTTCATTAAAATTTTATTATAATTTCATTAATATTCCGATAATATTTCATTAAAAATGTAGAAAAATTCAGTGAAAAATCATTGTTAATTAAAATAGATTGAGAGAAATATAATAAAGTATTATTTTGTCTATATACTAAGTACTCATCTTACATGCGAAATTTTGCGGAAACCTTGACTGAGAATTCAATTGAGAATTCAATTGGGAATTCGATTGTGATCTCAATAGAAATTTTTCAGTAGGATAGGCACGTAATGTTATTGTTTTTAAGGATGCGCAACCTACCGGCGAGCTGATACGTCGTCTTGATAATGTTTTATTCAATCATATAATAATATATACTATATAATATTAACCATACATCTGTACTATATCGCAATATTTAATTATCAAATACATGTATCAATTGCACTTGTCACGTTGTCGTATATCATACTACTGATTGTCAAGTTCTAGAATATTCGCATTTGCGTTATTTGACATTTATTATTTCTATCGACCATTTCTGATATTTTCATAAAAGGTTAGATGACGAGAAATATAATGAAATTGTATAAACTTACTGTAGAGATGATCCTCCTCCGACTGCATTGAGCGTTTCGATCCGACATCGCATCCTTCTGCCCGATCTGAAATAAAACGCAATGATTGTTTAAAAATTTCACAAATGAAGAATTTCTTACATATTCGTTTCAAATTTGTGACAAATAAAAACGAACCTTACTCATCTCTTGGATTTCGTGATTGTTGATGATTACCTTCGATTGTTGACGATAATTTCAGAATCAAAATCGTAGCTCCAATTTCGTAAATTATCACTACAGAAACTTGAATACACTTGACAAAGCCGGGAATGACGCTAAACGTCGCTTCAAATATGTTGTTACTTGCAAAACGGACTACAGCTTCGAACAGGCGCGGTATCAAAATATCTGGCAGGCTGATTGGCGCCATCTAATAGCATCGTGAGGAAAGAGAACTGACTGTAACTTTAGACCCGCTATTTTTAAACTCGTATATTTAGACCCGATATCTTCATGAAATATAAAGTCTTAATTAATATATTTTGTATTATTAAATACCTTTTCTCTGCAGCTAAATATCACCGATTTGAAAATATTTAAAATATTATTGACTTTTCGGCAAACCTTTAATAACATTTTAATATAAAAGTAATCGAAAATCGCTTCACCGATATCTCTATCGCAAATTGAAAAGTGCCATCAACTGAGATATAATAATTAAAGTGCCCTTGCCGTGCCCACAATAAAACTTTATGACAGTGTCCAGCTTTCGTAAAAATAAACTGTTTTAATTATTCTTAATATCTCAAAATCTGTTTCAGTTCTGAATATTTACAGAAGCATCTAAATTTTGACCTGGGTAAGTAGAATAAATTTGCCAGATACGCGTAAATTTCATACAATTACTTGATCATACAATTAATTGATCATCATTCTAGTCGCTAATTTGTACTATTTGCCATTTATTATTTCTACCGGCTATTTCTGATATTCTCGTTAGGTAAAGAGATGTAACGATTTTATATAAACTCACTGATGACTCTCCTTTAACTAAATCGGGAGTTTCAATCTAACATCGCGTCCTTCTGCCCAATCTGGAACGAAATAAAATGATTGTTACAAAATTTCAAAAATGGAAAATTCGCTCGAACAAGATCGGCTACATGTTCGTTTCAAATTTGCGATAAATAAAAACGCGCGTTGCTCACCTTTTAAATCTCGTAATACTCCGATTGTTAACGATGATCTCGGAATCAAGATCACGACAGCGATTCTGTAAATAATTGTTACAGAAGCTTCGACAAATCTGAGAAAGTCGGGAATGGCGCCAAACATCGTTTGACATGCGTTGTTACTTGCAAAATGAACTACTTTAGCTTCGTGTTCAGACACGGTATCTAGCAGACTGCCTGGCGCCATCTAACAGCATCGTGCAGAAAGAGTGTCGACTATAACTTTAGACCCGTTAATCTTAAACTCTATATATTTTGACCCAATATTTTTTTAATTATAAAATCTGAATTTATAACGGCATTTTTTATTTCTGAATGCGCTTCTTGCTGCTGAATAGCAACAAATTGAAAATACTTGAAAATTATTGATTTTCGGCAGTCTTTTAATAATCCTTTAGTAGAAAACAATCGAAAATCGACACACTGATGTCGTTTGTTCATATTGCAAATCGCAAGGTGTCATCTACTAAGATTTAATAATTAAAATACTTTCGTCGTACTCATTAGAAAATTTGATAAGATCGCTTTTATAAGCTTTTATAAAAATAAACTTAATTATTCTTAATAAATATTCT